AAGTTAGATCACTTTCTACCTAATAGCACTCTAAAATAGTTTATAGGACAAACTCAGCTATGTATATAAAATATTCCTAAAATTAATTAAAAGGTTTGTTTTATGTTGGCATCCTGACAATTATTCCGACGAAAACAATATCATCTCAATAAAACTTTGCCAAGACACTATAACTATACTTTGTTAAGATTTTACGAATTATTTACGATCAAAAGATATTAAAATATTCGGGATTTTGTCGGTCAGGTACAAAACCATCAAAGATAAAGAAATACGGCTATGCGTTAACGGTCTTTAAACACTTTATTAATTATCGTGATGTAAATTTGTTACAATAAAGATAAAAACAACTAAAGTTATAAAAGATAAATATGTTTTCTTTGAACTACAGGTATTAAAATCTGTTGTACTATTGTCATTCACAAATAAAAAAAAAATAAAATGAAAGTTTGTAAAGTTATTTTTGTTAATTTGTTGCTTAATTATTGCAAAAATAATTTCAAAAGTCGGTTTTTTAAAAGGTATTAATAACTTTTTATATAAATTTATAAAGTGAATTTATGAATTTAAATTTATACTAGTCGCAATATCCCGGGTTTTAATCAATGAAAACACAGGTCTACAAAAAAAAACTTTTTGAAAGATTTTTTTAAATTTGACAAGTGATTTTATATAATTTTGGTGCGCTGGTTCCAAATCTGCAAACCAATTTTTTCTATCACGTAAGATATTTTAGCAAATTAAAAAAAACACTAAATGTGCTTATAAATACATGTATTAATATGTTTTAAAAATAAGAGTAATGCTTAAAATAAAGAAAACTACATATTTTGTATGCACAACTTAATGAAATCCTTTCCTTTTTGCCAAAAAACTGCGTTCGGTAGAAATTTTTCTATAAATTTTGTCAGGAATATCACGATGTAGCATCCAAGAGTAGTCTGCCATCATGGATACGCTCCATTTACCCTGATAACGTCTTTCCATCTGCTTAATGTCTTGGTGGAAACGTTCCCCTTGCTCTTCGCTAACAGCTCCAAGATTTCCTGAAAATTGGTCTAGATGAGCGAAAAAATGAAAATGTACTTGTAAACTCATATTGCATCCTAGTATACGAAAGTTTTGTAGCATTTGTGTGACATTGTTCTCATAGTCTGGAACTTTCTTATTTCCCAAGAACTTTTCGATAACTTCTTTAAATTAAGTCCACGCTTTCTGTTCAATAAGCTTAATAGAATTTTGAAAGTTTTCGTCTCTGTTCTGAATTTTGAACAAATATATTTAAAATATTCTTCGTTTTTGTCAATAGCTTTAACAAACTGTTTCATTAAAGCCTTTTATAGGCAGAGGAGGCAATAAAATTCTTTCACGATTAACTAAGGCACTCAGATTTTAACCATTCTGTTGATATATTTCCAGAATTGTATATATGTTGTTAAATATCTTTGCGATTTTTGCTATTGTGATTCGTTGTCCATTAGTTTGAGTAATTCTGCTTGTATATTATCAGGGCCTGCCGCTTTGCCATCCTTTAACTGTGTTATTGCGGAATAAACTTCTTGCTGTAATATCCTTGGTCCATCATTTATCTCTTATTTTAGCTCAAAGGTGTTATCACTTTGATCTTCAAACAGTTTTTCTAGATATTCTTTCCACGTTCTTATTTTACTCTGTGTGTCCTAGATTGAGAAATCAAGGCAGATACGAGCTACTCCAATGCATTTGCAGGGTAAAATTGAAGGAAAAAAGCCCCAGGACGAAGAAGAATATCCTGGCTTGCTAACCTGAGAGCATGGAAAGACCTCAACACAGCTATTTCGTATAGCAACCAACAAAATCATCATAGCCAGAATGATCGCCAACGTTCGGAACGGACAGGCACCCTAAGAAGAAGAAGAAGTGTCCAAGATGATGTTTCCATCAGAATCAGTTTATTTCCTTCGTCGGAATATTTGCTTTCTGCCTTCGTCTTAGCCCCCTGTGAGTTATTTAACTTTCCTATGTACATTGTGACTATCCATACTTTGACTGCAGAGTCTCAATTTCTTCGCATCTTTTCCTTGCTTCTTTTTCTTTTGCTTCTCTGATTTTCGTTCTTATTAATATATTTATGGATTTATATTTGTCTGGGTCATTTTTGGCTTCTCTTCTCTTGTCCATTAGTTTCAGGATCTCATCTGACATCCATGATTTTTTCTTGACTTGGACTCTCATCCTCGTATCAAGGTCTTTCAGCATACGTAGGTCGTATTATTATGCTTTCCTTTTCTGCACTGTTTTGAGTTTGACTCGAAATACTCCCACCAGTGGAACCTGATCTATCTCCAAGTCTGCTCCAGGATAAGTCTTGACAGATGTAAAGCTGTTTCGGAATCTTTTATTTACTAAAATGTAGTCTATTTGATTCCTAATAATTCTTCCGGGTTTGTCTTTAGGGAATTTCCACGTGTACAGCTTGTGAGGTGGTAATTTGAAGAATGTGTTGGTGACAACTAGTTCTGAGTCTTCTGCAAATTTTTTTGCAATATACTGTGTTTTATCTCCAGCTCCAATCTTGGCATTAAAATCGCCCATAATGATAAGAGCCTCCTGTCGAGGAATTTTCTGTATAATACTGTTGATATTCTGATAGAACTCAATTGCTTCTTCCTTTCCTTTGTCTGCAGTGGGAGCATAGACAACATAGATGATGTTTATATTAATAGGGTGGTTGGCTTCTTCTTGTAGTATCGTCACTCTCTCTGATATTGGTGTAAAGTTAGTAACGCATTTGGCAACCTTGGGTGATACGATTATTCCGACTCTATATTCATGTGATCCATCACATTGTGAATGTTTTATTGCTTTGTATAAAATTTTGACATTCCATATACAGATCTTGATATTCTTTCTGCAGTTCAATTTATTATCTTTTGGTAAACTCTAAACTGTCCTCCCCGGAGACCCAATCGGAGGACTTACTCCGGAATTTATTTAAGTATTGAGCATTGCCATGATTGATTGACTAGGGCGTATCGCTGTGAATCTTTAATGTTCATCTGCCGTTGGTCAGTAAGTGGGGATTACTTATACTGGCAATCACTCGGTAAACATGTCCTGATTCATTTTGAAGAGAGCTCAACCATGATATCTAACATCTTCATCAATGATTTTTTATAATTCAATTGGTACATCATCTAGTCCAGTAGTTTTGTCGTCTCTTGGTGTTTTTGATGGCATAGATGACTTTTTCTCGTAACATCGGTGGTTCGGTATTCTCTGCGGTTTCTATTGAAAGTTCTTTTCTTTCATTATAAAGTAGATGTTGGGTCTAATTGGTCCATTGACGCAATCTCTCCTTCACAACACTAATTATGTCTCCATTATCATTTTTAAGGTTATCAATTCTTTGATTTTTTGTGTAAATGAAAACTATCATACTTTTTATTCAGATCTTCTAATTCCTAGCATCTGTCGAATTTTGCCTCTCGAATTTGCATTTTGATATTCTCATAAACTTATTTGTTATAAACTTTATTTGTTCTTCGATAAGTTCAAAGTGGCTTGAAGGTTTCTCTTCCACTGACATAGAGGCATGTTGAATTTTTCGCCACTTATGGTCTATAGTTAGATTTTTAGCATTATCTACTTTGGTTCTTTCTTTTCTGCATTTGTGTTTTCTTGATTGATCCATGATTTTCGGCTCTTTAGAGGCTTTAGTTTCAGTCGCATCGACAAAACAATCAGGATGTGATCTGAGGATATGTACGCTTCTGGATAAGTTTTCTTGATATTAAAGAATTTCTATTTGTTCTTCTTCTTCTTCTTTCAGTGCTCTGTCCGATTATCGAACGTTGGCGATCATATTGCCTAAATAATAGCCTGGCTCTAAATAAATTAAAGGTGGTTTCTTGATACCATTCTCGGAGATTTCGTAGCCAGGATGTTCTTCGTCGGCCTGGGCCTCTCCTTCCGTCGATCTTACCCTATATTATGAGGTGTAGAAGGTTATACCTCTCTGGATGTCTCATTACATGACCGAAATATTGTAACTTCTATTTGTTCTGTAGAATAATAATTATAATCTATTTGATTTGTGACTGTTTTGTTGTTATGGGCAGCTAGTGACCTCCGTGTGTATAATCTACGTTTAAGAAGTTTGAAAAAGGTATCTGCAATTATATGTATATTAAGTTCCCCATTGATATAGAAATCAACCATACTACAGCCACGCTCATTCTTCTTCCTTAGTACATATCGCCCCACACAATTCCACTTCTTCCACTCTAATCGCTCATTATAAAATTATGTCATGTCTTTTAGTTAGCTGTAAAACATTGCCAATTTGTTCTAGAATGTCTCTGTTATATCTTCATCCTTCTCTGCAGGAGGTGTATATATTTGGATTTCTTAATTTTTCTAATTTAGATTGATTTAATAATGAAATATTAGAACAGTATTGTATGCATTTAGAATTATTAATTGTGCTAATAATTCTCGTTTGTTAAAACTAAGATATAGTATCTTAGATTTTTTATTTCAGTGGTTAAGTATGTAGTTAACAAATGAAACTGTTTGATATAATCTCAATAACAGATGTGTTTCAGTTGTTGTAGCTAAGTATATACTGCCATGTTTTATTACCTGCATAATTAATTATCTTGCCCGGCATTAATTAACATTATTTTTCTGCTCTTAAAATTAGTGTGTATTTATAATAAACATAGTATTAAAAAGTAACCATTTTATTAGCATGTACAAGATTGTGTTATATGTATAAGCAAATTTCTTTCAACGTTGTTTCATGTTGTTTTCAATGGTAAAGTAGACGTAACAATAGAATAATCCAGATAATGTTTTCTTCTTCTTACTAGGATAAATACGAATCCCTTTATTTATAGTGTGTTTATACTAACTTTAGTAGTATATTTGAAATAATTTGTTTAAATGTCTTGCATGAGGTTTAAGATTGTTTCACTACTTCAACTTTTTAAAATTCTAATAAAGAATCATTGTTCCAGGTGTGCATGTAGACTCTCCAACTGATTTTATAGTGGATACCAGAAGCATTCCAAAATCGAGTGACGATGGTAAATTGACATGCACAATAACCAGCCCATCAGGTGCGCAAGTCGAAAAATTAATAATACCTTTAATCGACGGTACCTATAAAGTAAGTTATACTCCTTTCGAAGAAGGAAAACATACAATAGATATTTTCTACGATAACGTACCTGTACCAGGTTCTCCGTTTATCGTTAATGTCAGAAGAGGATGTGATGCTAGAAAGTGTCATGCGTATGGTCCTGGACTTCAAAAGGGAATCCTTAATAAATCAAATATGTTTACTGTGGAAACTAAAGAAGCTGGAACCGGAGGTCTCTCTCTTGCTATTGAAGGACCTTCAGAAGCTAAAATGACTTGCAAAGATAACAGAGACGGATCTTGCTCTGTAGAATATATACCAACCGAACCTGGTGAATACGATATTTCAATCAAGTTTACTGAAAATCACATACCGGGCTCTCCATTTAAAGTCTCAGTAGAACCAGAAACAAACGAGCACTTAGTAAAAGCCTATGGTCCTGGTTTGGAGAAATCCAATTGTAGATCGGGAATACCTACAAGTTTTACAATTGACGCTTCTAAAGCTGGGCCGGCTCCTGTAGCCGTCAATATAACCTCAGATTCCAAACCTCTCTCAAAGAGACCTGAAATAGTAGACAACAGCGATGGTACTTTTACAGTGACGTACATCCCTCCCAACGAAGGCGCTAACTTACAAACACAAATTCTTTACAATGACAAAAATATTCCCAACAGCCCATTCCCCGTTCATGTCAAACCTACAGTGGAGCCAGAGAAAGTTAAATTCAGTGGACCAGCCATTTTTGACCAAGGCATTCCTGCCTCCATTCCGACAACTGTTATGGTCGACACAAATGAAGCAGGTTATGGGGAATTAGATGTCAAGATTATTGGTCCTGATGGCTCACAGAGGCCTGTAAAGCTCACAGATAATGGCGACGGTACTTACAGTGCAACATTTGTGCCTGATGACTGCGGGCGGTATAAACTTGATGCCAAATATGGAGACAAAGAGGTTTTGAAGAGCCCCATTGCCATTCAAGCATATGCCATCGGAAATGTAAGTTTTTGCATTTTTTCTTTTATTTAATTGTGTTTGTTAGAGTAATATTAGTGTTGTAAAAATCGACCCTCGGCATCAATCCAAGGTGTTAAAAGTGTGTCTTCATATATATCTGCTGTTACCAGCTGACATCATTTAAAAGTTTGGCTTTTTAACGATACATTAAGGCTAGCCTAACTATTTTTTAGTAAAGGTTTCCTGCTTTTTTACTAACCGGATTTTATGAATATGTCCCTCATAGGTTTTTATATGTAAAGTTGTAATTTTACCGGAAATCTTAATATGCAATATCTGATTTGGTATACACAATTTAATAACAAGTTCATTTAAATAAAACAGTTTCATCCGCGGTACTGCCGGCAGTTAGTTTCATAATTGTTAACTATACAAAAACAACAGTTTACACAGTTTAACTACTCAGCTGGAAAACCAGTCATTAATTTTCATTAGTTACACTTTCATGCAGGTTACACCTGTTATTAAACTTTATTGAAAAAAAATGTACATAAAAAAATTAACACAACAAAATTCAAATAAAACTTTTGACCTGGGTAAAAAACTATTTATTTTAAATATTTATTTAAGCATTGTATACAATTATAAATTTCATAAGTGATCTTTTTCGTTGTCAACCAGATAATAGTTTCCATTCTAGTTAAAACAGTGAAAGGTTCTTCTTCTTCTTCTTCTTCTTCTTCTACTTCTTGGAGATCTTTCGATGTGTTTAATTCTGAAGCTGCCTCTGGTTAATTACCTGGGAGGTAGATTGCCAACTATCCCTCATGCAGATTTCGCTGGGCGATGGAACACTATCAGTGGAATTTCTAAAATTGGAGGAATTATCTCTTTACTGACGAGTCCAGATTTCGTTTGTATACGAATGATGGTTGAATATTGGCGTGGAGGGAAAAAGGACAGCGTTACAATGAAAATCTGAGATTTCCCAACCACTCTTTTTGGAGGTGGATCCGTTTGCGTGTGGGGAGGCATATGTTTTGACAGTCGCACGGACTAAAGGTCGATTCAGACTCATCAATCACGTCTCGTCACAGTCCGGGCGCCGAACCGAACAATCCGTCATACAAAATATTCTTTAATAGAAATATGGCGCCGGCATTCACATTCATCAGACGACGAACAGTTTCCAGCTGTCAGATAATTAATAGTTCTGTGACCAAACAGGACCGGTTCGGCGCCGAGACTGTGACGGGACTGATGTGTCTGAATCGACCTTAACTCGTCTTAATTAATGAGACAATGACTGCTACACGATATCTAGACAAAGTAATAGTACCAATAGTTGTTCCATTTTTTGGTGCAATAGGCGAACAATTTGTTCTGATTGATGATAAGGCTCGCCCTCACCGTGCGAGAATTGTCAACGAGTGTATAGAAGCTCATGGCATTGAGCTTTTCTCAACTCTTTTAACAGAATGCTAACAGATGTTGTGTTAACAAATACAACTTCTTTATCTATTAATTCATTACTTATACTTGCAGAGTCACACGTTTCTCTAAAAAAATTTTTTTTTTTAATATTTGAGTTGTTCTGTTACGTGCTTATTCATTATTATTGTTTAATTTCGTCCCGCTTTTATCACACTGGGTTTTTTGTTATATTAGATATAAAAATATGCAACGCATATTTGACTGCTCGCTCTTAATTTTTAAAATATTTTTAAAATGCTGTTGACAATGCGTGAATAATGAATGTGTTAAAAAGAACGTGCCAAATCAGATATAGTCACTTGAATAATTAAACATTTTTAATTGCCAGTATTAAGTTGTAATTCTTATACAAAATAAAAATAACAATGTATTACTGTGTATATACAATGTATCTTTTTTAAAATGAAATTGTACGAATCGTATATTTGAAGGTAAATAGACCAGGGAATTAACGACTTTTCCAAAAAACTCTTTGGTACAGGTTTTTTTTTTATTTGAAATGTTGATATTGTTACAGGAATTAAAAAAAACAAATACAATGTCGTACTACCCCTAAAACCCAAGTTGCTCTTTTTTCAAAAAATCACCAAGACTTTGTTTATAAATTCTTAACATCAAATTTATATAAAAGTCGCAATATCTCCGGTTTTAATTAAAGAAAATTGATGTTTTTGTAATGTGAGGTACCTCGTTGCATAGATTAGAAAAAT